AATTGGAAGTGTCTTGGTGACATTTCAACAAAGTCTCATTCGTTATCTTCAGGCTGGTGTTTTCGGCTTCGTGCTTCTAGGACCAATGTGTGATCGTAGCTGTTTTTTCCTTTTAACTGCCAGTGGGGGCATGAACTGATTGGATGAGAGCTTGGCTGTGTTCTGATTGGATGGAGGTGTGTTCTGATTGGTTAGGAGCTTGGCTGTGCTCTGATTGGATGAAGGGTTGGCTGTGCTCTGATTGGTTGGGGGAGTGTTCTGTTTGAGTGGGGGCTTTGTTGTGGCCAGGTTAGTCTGAGTTGCAAGGGGATGTGAGATGGTGTGCTACATTGCTATTGTTTGGCTTCGCGTTCGTGGTCGTGCCTAATCTTCATGGTGGGTGTCAGTTTGCTTCATGTATGGATTGGAGGGGTTTAAAGTAGCCAATGATGCAGCCGTGGTCTGCCTTCTGGTTTGTGGTCATGCCTCATCATCGGTGTGGGTTTGGGTTTGCTTTTTGCATGGACATGTGGTGGTAACATCCTGTGTGGCTTTCGTGAGTGTGGGTCTGGTGTCATTCTTTGTGTTAGGGACTCGTTTCTCAATAAGGGTGGGTTTCCAAATGGCTGGTAGGCGGGAGGTATCATCTCGTTTGTTCATGCTGTGTGGGCATTTTTCTATCTCGACGGCTTCTCTGATTATTCTGTTATTAAAGTGTTCAGTTTGGGTAATAGTTCTGGTTTTTTTAAAGTCAATTTCATGTCCTGTGATTTTAAGGTGTTGGACCAGGGAAGAAGTTGGTTCCTCTTTTTTGACTGAATTCTTATGTTCTTCAATGTGTGCACTTATTCTTCTGTTGGTTTATCCGATGTATGTGGTGGGACAAGCAGTGCATGGGATTTCGTATACTCCTTGATTTTCTAACTCAATCTTGTCTTTGGGGTTTCTTAGGATGGTGGCTATTTTTCTGTTTGTGCAGAATAAAAGGCACCACAGACAGAATCAGCAAGATCTTCCACAAACACAACATTAAGACAGCATTCTGCACAAACAGAAAAATATCCACCACTGGCAGTTAAAAGGAAGAAACATTGCTCCTAGAAGCACAAAGCCAAAAACACCAGCCTGAAGATGACAAATGAGACTTCGTCGAAACGTCGCCAAGACACTTCCAATTTGACGTGGGAGAAAACCCGAATAACCACACACACAAACAAAAATGTTCAAGTTACTAAGCTTAAATTGGGGGCAATGGGTTAGCTCTTTGAAAGAGAAATGAATGTTGAAAATAATTAGTTATACAAGTGAGAGCAGGAATAGACAACCTTAATTAAAAATCTCCTTTAGGCTTCTGCAGTTCAAAAGCTTCATAGAGTTGCATTCATCCCCCCAAAATAAGATTTGCAAAGTATAAGTGGACATACATGGATTCCTGCCCTAAATATAGAATAAATTATCCCAGAGTTTATATTTTTTTTTAAAAAAAAAAACACTCTAAGCTATCATACTAAATGGGAAATGCAGAGTTGCCTGTTTTGTATATCCAATGCATGCATACATAATCTTTCCTTTGTTAAATCTCAAAACATATGCAGTAAACAGTTTCAAGAAAGATCTGTTAGGGCAAATATTAGAATATAGTTAAAAAAACCACAAAGAATCTATCTTTGTCATTTAGATGCATATTTTAAGCAAATATCTTGAATGTATTCCACATCATAAGGTGTATTGTTTCACAATGCATAGTATATAAAAAGTTATAGGCTTTGCCTTGGAAGAGATATATGTATGTACACACATACAAACACATAGAGAGAGGGAGTTAAGGAGATAGGGAAAGGAAGACGGATAGAGAGAAGGAGAGGGAGGGGGAGAAGGGGAGAGGGAGTGAGTGAGAGAGAGAGAGAGAGAGAGAGAGAGAGAGAATTACATTTGAATTGTTTACCCAAATATATGAGGTATAAAAAAGTAAACATACAAGCAACATTTAATCTCTGAATAAGAGAAGATAACATGTGACATTGGGAATAAATAAGATGTCTTAGGGAACTGATCTTATAACCAAGATTTGAACAACTCAAAAATAAATGATGTTCCACCTAGCTTGAGATAATGCTATTTCTCCTGACTGAGGGGGATTACCTGTGAAAAGATTCAGTCAAATGTGTTCCAGATATCTTCTGAGGCAATTAAAACATACATTAAGTATGTGTGTGTGTGTGTGTGTGTGTGTGTGTGTGTTTGTGTGTGTGTATTTAATGTTTAGCAAATTTATAAACCACCTTTGCGCTTGGATGAACTTGTAAGGGAGCCAAAGTTTTTTTAAAAAAAACAGTTAAGATTAATATTAACCATCAGTTACATTATGTTCACCTCTGAATGAAAAACTTTCTAATCAGGAAGAAACAAAAGGTCAACATCCAAAACATAATGGGGACTTAATACAAACAATTTTATCCAAACAAGTGGGTGAACTGCACCATTCGTCCTGATTTACCCACTACTTGTGAAGGTTCTACACAAACTGAATCCTTTTAGCTGAGTTTCTGTCCTTCTTGATCAATGGAGGTTTTTAAGAAGAGATTGGACAGCCATTCATCCAGAGACCACAGGGTCTCTAGCCTGTGCAGGGGGTTGGACTAAACTCTCTTATTCTGTATTCTATATCTGCACCTACTGTAATATGCTGATACTCTTGGCACTTGCCTCCATAATATGCTTTTTTTTCCAGTTTAGATTTTTTTCCATTGTCTTGATGCCTTGTCTTAGTAATCTATCACTCATAAAAACATTATTGATTAGAAGCCCATAAAGTGATGCTGTCTTTCCGCAGAATAGTTAAACTACCTGAAAAATAAATTTGATATCTCTTCCAAATTCCATGGAACACATAAACATTAGATAAGATTCAAAAGTTAGCAGCACAACTGTATAATCTATGATTTGGCTAAAGAGCATATTTTACCATTGAAAAACCTTGGGTCAATTCATAGATTAAAACATCAGAGAAATTAGAAAGTTAGAAGTTCTGTGTTATTGCTAAGTCATTTTAGAAGGATATGATTTTGTGTGGAAAGCAATGAAAAGAGAAGTTAAGTGTCTTCTACATGGCTTAATAAATACACTTTCTATGTCAATATTAATTAGTAGGAAGCTATTAAATAATGTACTGTTTTGCTTTCATCTAAAAATAAATCTCTTAACATTTTATATTTTAGGAATTTTCACTGCTGTTGACAGAAGCACTAAATAGAATTTATAGTTCTTATCGCTCAACAAAAAACTATCCAGTAGAAGAGAAAAATCTAATCACTCTGCTGTTGGGGAGTAGGGGGAAGGAAAGTGTCACATTAAGCAATTTCTTGATTTTCTTTAAAGCAATCTGAATTTCAGCCATTAGTATACATTTAAATCAAGGAAGGGAAACCCTTCACATATAAATATCTGTTGAAGAAATTAAAATTAACAGGTATCATTTCAGAACGCCCACCTACCCAGACGAGGGTGGCTGCTCTTATGCATTGTCAGAGACAGAGGAAGAAACAGAAGATATATAGAGATATAGAAAAAATCTCATTTAAACACAAAAGCAAATTATGGAAAGCAACCATAACCGGGAGACTATCAGGGTTACCCAGTCTGAAAGACAAAAATCAAGATGACCTTTGGAAAGCAGCAAAGAGAATTAGAGTTTAGTGAACATCCATTTCATCCATTTCTTTCAGCTCAGCTCAAGCAGTTTTACTACAAATTCAGTTTGCTCCCTAGGCTGAGGCTAAGGTTGATGGCTAAATTCAATACCTGGATTCACACACAGCGTGCCTCTATCTTTAAACCAGGCTATAACTCAAATGGCAAATATTTTGTAAATAGCTCTGCTAAAACAGAAATGCCCATTCCACACGTAGTTTAATCTCATAGAAACAGGCCTTAAGTCTCATCATTCCTCTCTTCATTACTAGCACAGCCTTGTGAAGGTAATCAGAAGGTGATCTTCATTTTCTGCTGACTTCCACTGAGTCTTTGATTCCAATTTGCTTTGTATGTACATAATGGAACTAATTTCTTTCAGGCATGGAAACTCCATGGATGACTCTGTGAATTGCCCTGTCTCAGCCTTATCTTCCTCCTAAGGGTTGCTATCATGGGGATAAAAGTGAAGCCAGAACCTTATATAAGCCACCTACATGAAAGGTGGGATACGGATAATGAATAATGAATGAATCTTGGTCTTCATTTTACCAACCTCAGAAGGATGGAAGGCTGAGTCAACCTTATAGCCCCATCAGGATTGAACTCCAGGCTATGGGCAGAGTTTGCCTGCAATACTGCATTCTAACCACTGCGCCACCGGGGCTCAATGAAAAAAGTAATTCTATCTCTCTTATCAACTGTGAAATCCTAATGTGTTTTTTTATGCTTCAAAGTCCAGATTTTACATTGTTTCAAGAGATTTAGTGGACAAAAGTGGTAGATCTGTTCTGGTTTTGTGGAATGGGAGGAGGGAGTGGTAACAACCATGTTTGGTGGAGGCTAATTGCTCTTGCTTAGTTAACTAATTACTTTATCCCGATTTATTTATTTTTTTGGTTAAAAGGACTCAACATATAAAATAGGGTCAAGTTTGCTATTCCTGGATTAATTATCCAAAAGGCCTTTGTTCAATTTAAGTCATGTTCAGAGTAGACTTTTTCATGCAAAGAAGTAAAAAATACCTATTACTGTAACAAGTAATCATTCTGCCAAAAGACTGCATGAACAAATACTTAATTTTAGGAGATTGACCTTTGGGTTAAAATTTTACTAATGATCTCTATTAACATAGCTAGTAACATCTCACTACTATAACTAATTAACTGTATCATTATATAAATTAATTACTAATTATGTGTAAAGAAACATATGTCTAACTTTAATAAAGAAAAGGATTTATTCTTGTTTTTATCAATTATGAATTCACAACATCAAGCAGACGGAGAGAGTCTTTCAATTCTGAAGCCAATAAGGTAAAAGACCCTTACCTTCGACACAAGATGGCCGTGCGTGTGTTGTGCCTGCAACCTGACCTGGGAGGCAAGAGCACTTGACTGTCTGTGACCGCTCTTCAATCCTGTTCTTGTTGCAACACCGATGCACCGCAACCACCTCACAGGTCCCTTGCTTAACTTGGTTGAGGCCTACAAATAACAAGGCATAGGTTATTGTCTCAGCACTGATTACAAAAGACATAGGACTTTTATTGTTTCCACGTTTTTTCCCAGAAAAAGCAGTTCATGGATGAATTACGACAAATCTTATTACAGCCTCCTTAACCCGTCATTTCACCCATTGCACTGTGTGACTCATCCATGCCATGAAATCCAGTACAATGGAATAATTATTTATTTGTATACTATTGTAATCATAAAATAAAACCTAAAAGCAATTTGGTATTAACTGGCTTCCAATAACTGAGCACTTGCCTGACCTTAGCAGGAGGACTATTCTATAAGGCAGAGGTCCCCAACCTTTTGGGCACCAGGGACGGGTTACATGGAGAGAGGTTTTTCAGCAGACTGGAGGGTGCGTGGCTTTGTGTGCTGCCTGCATCCCATGGATGGGGCTTTGCTTGTTTGTGCAGACTGGCATGCCGCGGCCTGGTACCAGTCCACAGACCTCTGCCATAAGGGGACCTCTACAAAAAAGCAGTTTCAGATTTCTTCTTGCCTTTACCTTACAGAAATTAAGATAATTTCTTCCCTACGAGGCACATTGGTCAGGTTAATTTCAGCTGAAAGAGGCAATCCTGAAAATACCTGGAAACCAAGCCATAAAGTGCTTTATAGGTTAAAAACAATTGTTTGGGCAATTCATGATAACCTACTGGAAGCATTATTCAACAAGATTCTATTTACTTCATTGCAGTCCAATCAGGTAACCTTATCTTCTGTTAACATAGGAATCTACTGATTGAGGCATACCTCTACTCCTGCTGTATAGATACAGTAGAGTGAACTTTTTTGCTTTACTTTCTGATACATTTACCAAAAGTAATATAATGTACTTGCAGACTTTGGGGCCTTATCAGTGTTTACAAAGGACTAAGTAAGTTAATAGGTATATCTAACAGCAACATTTATTCATTTACTAGTAGACCATGGCAACAGTGATTTGGGAACAGTAAAACATGCTCATCGGGTTGCATGAATATTTCTTATAGAAGCAAAGCCAGGCAAGAATGTGAGTTAACATTTGAAGCTAAAGGGATATAGAATTAAAGATACAAGTTCCCACATAAGAACAAAAGTAATTTTGAAAGGCCAAAGAGTCATCCATATTGCTAAAATAGCTTTTAACATGCCTGTTTACTTCCTGATAGAAGAGAATGGAAACTAAACATAAACTTGAATTAAACCATGAATCCTTGCTTACTAAACCATAAAGTTTGAAGATGATTTCTGATAGTTATTGATGTGGAGGTATTCTTTCCAGATTTACTTACTCATGCAAAGGGATTAGCAATATTTCTTTTGGTATCCACATGCCACTTGTCCTCATTATGTTTTATTAAATCAAGACTCCAAAGTTTACATGTTATTCAACACAGTCTACATTCTAAAAGAATCAGCAATTGATGCTCATTTGCACCCTCAATTTAGTTTAAATCTGCATTTTTAACACTAATATTATGCTAAATATTAGAGTAAGTGCTGAGAACAATTTGAAGTCACTTCATAGGTAAATGAAATCCTACAACTGGAATTCAGATCCCATGAAGGCACAGATTAGTCCTCTAATATATTTTCTCTACAGCATTATATAATAATGCTATAATAAAGAACTATTACTTTACCTAAAGACTTAGACAGCTGCACTGAAAACTATGTAAGAGGGAATATGAGCCAAATAACAGAATATACAAGATTTTATTCAAGCTCCCCAGCCCCTAGATACCACCTTTTTAACAAAATATGCTTTATCTGTGGGATGCATCATCCATTTTACTGAAAGTTGCAAAAAGGTTGATCATTGTATTTAAAAAAAGTTGATCACAGCCAGTATATATTTATTGACAGCCTCTATATTTTATGGACATGCCTAACATCTAAGTAATAGCATTTTTTTTTAAAAAAAAAGCTCTTTGGGGCAATGGATACATTGCAAACTAATAAATAAGCAGGCAACATCTTTATATCTCCATATCGTTCAAAAAAAAATCAATTCCTAAAATCTGTTGTGAACATTTCCAAGCTCCTATAAACAGATGATTTTACTTTTCTAACAAATAAAGAATAAGTACTGTTTTGTACACTTAAATGATTTAAACAGATTAATAACTTGCTAATAATGTTAAGGAAGGTGCTTATTCTCTTGATAATTTGTGTGGGAGAGATCTGTTATTTTTTAAAAACAGGATTCAATCTGAGCTGAGCAAGTTTTAAGCAATTGCATGTTGAATTTAGAAACTAAGATTATGAGCAGTCAACGCAGTAAGGTGAAGCACTATGGGGTAAAACAGCAATACAGCTTTATGCCCTGAAGTCATGATATGCTGCCAGCATCTGTTTCCCAAAATTAGCAGTCAGAGATCAGTTGGGGGGTGGCTATTGTAATACCTTACTCGTTTCTTTTATTCAAACTCTGTAGAGTTTGCCAACTGCATCAAGTGGAAGACAAGAATTGTTTTTAATTCAAGAACCTAAGCCAATATGCATTCAAATTCATGAGAAACCTTTATTGACTCCTAAATTCCCTAATGAATACATCTAGGCTTACAATCATACATGAGCACATCCAGAACAGTATCACATAGGGTTTTCCAGTTTAGAAAGTTCTGGGTAGATCATGTCTTAGTTTAGAAGGGCAGTTCAGGAAGGTTTGTCTGAAATGGTATAAGTTCTCCTGCCTGAGCAGAAGGTTGGACTAGATGACCTCCAAGGTCCCTTCCAACATTACTACTACTACTACTACTACTACTTCCCACAACACTCTTTAAAAAGGAGAAAGCAACAAATGGCTATAGGTAACCCTCAATTTACAACTGGTCGATTACCAACTCTTTGAAGTTATGACGGACCTCCACAGGGATACTTACAATGTTGTTCTGAAGTTCTGACAGCCACTGCTCCCCTGCAGTCATGGGACTACATGTGAAGCGCTTGCAACCGATCCATATTTTCAACCGTCGTATCTCATAATCATGTGACTGTGTTTTACAACATTTTTGTTAAAAAAGACATTTGCTTCCAGTTTTTTTACAAAACCAGCCCATACTGAACAAATCGATATGCGTAATGACCACTGCATTCACTTAACAATTGGCATGTTTACTTAATAAATGCCACAAAAAAGATAGTAAAATCAGATCAGTCATGTGGGTAAGCCACTTTACAACCATTATGACTTATGTCTGTAATGGGCAGGCTCATTTAGGCCGTAAGTCAATGACTACCTGTACTGCTTAAAAAGTCTGAACTGCTGTCGGGCTCCCAATGTAGGATCATGATCACTAAATCACTGAAAATAATTGCCAGAACATTTCTGAATGTACAGTATGTTTGGTATTTCACAGCACAGAGTGGCATTACAAGAAGAGATCTCTAATTTGTACAGGGTATATTGCTGTCTGGAGAAACACAGCAAGGTCATATTGCAACTGTTTAAAGAGCCTTCAGGTGATGATTCCATACTGCAATATTTTGTTCAGTAAAACCTGAATTTAAAGGACTATTTGGGGAGCAGGGGTACTTGTTAAAGCCAAATGACTATTAAATCCAAATTTACCTAACTGATGCAATGTATATCATTTGCATAATTATGTTCTCAACATTTTTACATTGCATGCATCAATTTATGCAACATCAATTATATAATTACGCAAATGACAAAAAGAGATGCAAATGTCTATAATGCAATTAGGGAAATTGGTACAAATGACATAAAATATCTATTACATCATTGTACAAATGATGTAAATTGACATGTTGTCATAAATGGAATACATTAGGTGAACTGATTGAACTATGCCAAAAATCCTCATATTTTGGCCTCCTGTTTGTGAATGAAATCCACAGTAAAATTCATCCAAAAGTCCATTGAATAGGGAGACTGCCCAGGGAGCTTTGGTGAACTAAAGACAGTTCTGCAAAAGCAGAGACGATGACTATGGCAAAGACCAAGGAATTGATGAATAAACTAGTTCATTGGAACCTGTCTGAAATGGTATAGGGTTTCCTGCCTGAGCAGGGAGTTGGACTAGAAGACCTCCAAGGTCCCTTCCAACTCTATTATTATTATTATTATTGTTATTGTTGTTGTCATCATCATCATCATCATCTCTCTGGATTAAGAGAGGATGAGAGATCACCCATATGTGCTCCAGAAAGCTGTAGGACACCGGCTTTCCATGGCTTTGAGCACTAGGAAACAATGGGATTAAGCATCTTGTTCATAAACATGATGGCGACTTTAAAAGGACACTAAGTTCACAAACCTCACTTTCTAATCACTTTCAGAAAATGTTCATTAATTGTTTCTAAGGTATTAGAGACCCTTGCAATAACAAGTTTGAAGTTGCCTTTAATTCTAAACAAATGAAAATTTAATTTAAAGAATCCAAAATAAATAACCAAAAGCTAAATAAGATTTTGATCTCAGAAAATTATAAATGGCCATTTTTAATTTGTATTATTTTAACTTTTTTCAGTGTGATTTAAATATTACCTTATAATAATATTTTGTAATTAATTATAAAGTACAGCTTCTTGTGGGAAATAGAGCCTGCGTGTTTTATTACAAGACATAAGATAGATGAAGAAGTTTGTGATTTCAAAAACTGGATACTAGTGGGGACTAAGGATTTTAGGTAGAGGTAAACTTTTGAAGAATGGAATCAGAAAATAATAATAGCTATTATATCAACAACGTCAGAGATGATGTCTGCTTCTAGGGATAGATTATGTCCAAAAAGATGTTACGGAAGAAATATTAGATTTACAACTAGTTTTATGTAACAAGTTAGAGACATCAAAAGTGGATTTATAACTGATAGGCCAAGAAAATGGTTTAGAAAAAGGATATTTTAATGGATATTCAAAACAAATTGGCTGAGGTTTTAAAATTTAAAAAGAAAATATAAATGACAAACCAAGAGAGTGACCTGGGTAAAGTTTCCCAGCAGATTTACAAAACAGGCTTG